CAATTATTATATATAGAATTCTATAATTATGAATATTTAATAGAACGCTATAGAGTAATATAATTGGTTACAGTGTGCAGAATAATCAAATGTCTGTTCCACCAATATTAGCTTTTAGTAGATTTGTTAATTCGAACTCAAATTCATATTAGCTTTTCGGAAAATTAAAAAAAAAGTTTAACAAATTAACACTCAGAAGTTGTGAAAACCTTTGGCAGAATGCTTGGGAAGACAGTTAACCAAATATTTTCCAAGTGTTTTCAACTTCCAACTGCAGCTTCAGACTGAAGAGTAAGGCGCAACAAAAATTAATGTCTGCAACTGTCCTTTGTGAAGTTACCGGCATTAAAACGTGTTGATGACATCTGCTGGAGAAAGTTGCGACTGCAAATTCAGATAAATAGAAAAAAACCTTTGACGTTTGTGCCCGTTTATCTAGTATTTTCTTGTGCCGTAATATTCTTTTAAAATGCTATAAATATAAACTGCTACGGTATATTGTTTTTTCCCCATACTCCAGGTAGCCTTCACCTACCGCAGCAGAATCTTGACGCTCCAACGAAGTACTGGCCGAACTGCCGGAGTCGGAGCAGCCCTTTTTAGAGCAGCGGTTATTGTAAAACAATTATTGAATATCGAATGTATGCACTTCCACCCTCAAGGCTGTAACTGATTCAAATATTTATGCATGTTGAAAAGGGCATGCTGCACATTGGTGGTGCTGGAGGGGAGTCCCCATTACCTGTAAAGCGCTTTGAGTGGAGTCTCCAGAAAAGCGCTATATAAGTGTAAGCAATTATTATTATTGTTGTTGTTTGTTGCACTGGAAGGCAGTTTTCCTGAAGCTGTAAGGAGCAAGATAAATGGGTCACCAGTACAGCCGAGCTGCAGAAGGCTCACCATCTCAGTCAGGCTGTATCGACCGGCAAGAACATGAGCTCTTTAAACATGCTGCCTCTATTCCAAGAGCTTGGAGCTCACTTCAAAATACACAATTGAACAACCGATCATAACTACAGAACCACTACACCTACAGTATGTGTCCCTTGCTCTGTATAGTCAGGTCAGTGTGAAAACTTGTTAAAACTCAAACTTGACTTTCCATCATCACAAAAAAAAAATCGCCACAATTGTTAATTGTAATTTGCAATCGTAACATCAACCGCACATGCTCTTTGAAAACGAAAATTGATATCTGTTACAATATTGTATTACTGACCTGTTAATACTGTCCTTTAAAAGCTATATAATACTATGCCTTTAATGACCGTAAATGTTACGCTAATTACCATGACAGATGGAAGTTAAACAACTTAGAAACAATTTAGAAAACGTTAATCTAAAGAATTAATCGTTAATCTAAAGTAACAGCCACTACAGAACAAGTCACCACTCGAAGATGTAAATGTCTATGGTTATAAATTCTACAAAATCGAATAAACGTAGAACCTTTTACACTTAAAATTTCCATTTATAGTGGAAACCACAAGGGTCCTGACTCTGGCTGCAGGTTTATAACATGGAGAAATTATAGTAGTTACGTTTGCGGTGGTCTCAGACTGAAATGTCAGAGACAATGGGTAAATTATAGGTTAAATCGTAATGTATCGGTTATGAACCAACCAAGTTCTGGTTATGAATCTTGTGAATTTTTCTCTCTTAATCATTCGTGAGCGCAGGGAACACTTCAGGCATCTTGTCGAGTTCTTACCCAGAAGAGAGCGGATTTAGGTGGCAAATGTGCTTTCGAAAGCTGTGAAACGTAACAGGAAAGGCTGAAGCGGTTTAAAACGCACGGCAATAAACACACGGTTTAAAGGACAAAAAATGTTCAAAGAGAATTTGGTTTGTGAAATCAGAAATGCCAGTAACGGGGAAATGCAGAAATAACATAAACTTAAAATAAATACTAAACAGATTTAATATTCAGTAATTTCAATGGTGAGCTATAGGAGTAGGTCAATTACTTACAATAGGTGATGTGCTTCGTAAGGTTTAGCGATTTTTTTGTACATTTACAATAAATTAAAGAGCTGGTATATTTTTAATAAAAAACACGAACAATTTTGATTTAAAGTCAGATATTCCAGCAAATATATGCTGTTTAACATATTTCTCATAATACTTTTTTTCGATCAGGAAAACGTCTTTAACAGCTATTTAGCTTTCACCTGGTTAAACCGATGGTTTACAGTAATTGTTTAAATTCCAAATTCATGTCTTTATGCTTCATGTTTGATTACTGTAGCACAGGAGTGAAGGTATGAAGGAAAATTCCTTTTCTTAGACGCTGGCATAACATTCCCTGCACCTTCACACGACAAACCAATATTTTAGCACATCTTTTTTTCCCCAGTGAAGATACTTAATATTAATGAAGGAGCTATTTATAGGTAACTAGGTTAGAGCAGACACAGGAAAAGGTAGGCATCATAACCAGGTAACAAATGTCACAAACATTTCAAAGTTTTGAGATTCCATGAGGTTTTGCAACACGGAGTTCTGATCCATACGCCAGATTCTTCATTCAACGCATTTATTTTACTTAAAAAATGCGTTTCTCTCCTGTAGCGCGTATCTTCCTCTTTCTAGATCTCCAGCGAAAACTTCACTCCACAGCTCATTTGTTCTATATTAAACAATTCATTGGCAAAACATTCGCTGTGAGCGAAGGAAATAATGCTAAAGAAAAGTGTGGTCAAAGAGAAAAGTGAATGTGTTCAATTTGCTAATGGAAGCCAGTGGCAGCATGCTGGGAACTACAACCATCCAGTGTAGTTGAGGCTATAAAGAATCTCCTTCGATGTTATTTCTTTACGCAAATTTATTTCAGGTGTTAGGAAAGGTATGCCATCTTGTGGTGAGCATAACACACGAGTCTTCCACACCGAAAATAATTTTACCGCAAAATGCTGATTTTAACGCCGTAACGGTTTTCATAAACATTACCATGCAATCTTACTTTGTCATTTTCAATTTTATGAGGAGAATGCGTTTGGGTGAGTGCCAGGTACTTAGTTAAATCTTTTTCTGATACGACTTGTATTGGTATCTTTTAATAAGAGCAACCAGTTAGAAATTTCACCACAAATTCTATTAAGTTCCTTTCAACAGATCATGGGAACGTACTAGAATGAGCATTTGAAAGTAGTTGCTGTTCTCATTTGATAGGTAGCAAACCAGATTAATCAACACCACATGCCATTACATCAATTCAAGAAAATGTTTGTTTGCAAAACTAGATCCCAGCATGAAACAGCAACAACACTGGACCATCTAGAAAGATTTCAGTTTATTTAACATTTTTAGTCATATTAGTAAATATTAAAACTAAACCCTTAGTCTCCAGTACCAGAGTAAATGGCTAGAGTATGGTTCTATGCAAGTGACTTGTTGGTCTTTACACTGCTGCTACACAGGATCCCAATGTACACACAGAGAAGCTTTAGCCCTAAGAAAAAAAAAAGGCAGAAACCCAATACATTTTAAGGAGCCTCTAAAGATTAAGTTAAATTATATTCCCTTACAGTTTTAATGGCAGAAAGTGCAGATATAACAGGAAACAAAACACTGCAGTGCATTATTTACAAAACACTGAGCAGCATGCTTTGTATGTCAAAAACACAAATCCTATTCATCCTTGGGTCCATCTTTGGTTTTAAGAGGAAAGCAATCGCCTTGGATAAGAGACGATTTTATGAAATCTTATGGGCCATAACCATTCGACAAACATTAACACAAGTTTACTACTACCACCAAGTATTGGTTTAACTAAATGTCATTGTCATCATGACTGTAACAAATGTTATAGGATTAATTTTTGCTTACAGAAATATAACAGGATTTAACTAGCCTATTAAGAATTCCGTCAAGTTTCACAAATTCTGCAATGTAAACCAAACATGGAACCAAACATGCGACAAGAAAAAAAAAGTGCAAATTCAATAAGGTATCTGCATAGGTTTTCAGCACTTTGTAGTACGTATTTTGAAAAGTCAGGTGGTGAATACAGCAGGATACGTGGAATTTCCTGTGGGATGTTCTCTATATAGTAAAATCTGATTTTCCATAATGACCCAGCTTCTGCAGAAACTGTACAGCTTGTTCAAACACTACTGAGTCACAAGAGCAACATCAACCCAGTGAAAACACAGCACTAGCACATGCAAAAAACCTCCAAGTCTACCTTAAATGAACCATAAAATAAAAAAAAGAACTTACAAATAAAAAAGAAACCACAATTAACATAAACAAGCTTATTTTAATGGATCTGCAAAACTGTTTGAATTTCCAATGAAATATTCAAACATTACCCCCCCCCCACTTTGTGAATTAGTGCTATTCCTTTGATTGAGCATCTTGGCAAACCCAGAAAGGTTGTCCAATCCAAAGAAAAGAGCACAAAGAAGTACTTGAAGGAAACCATACATGTAAAATAAACAGTCATGGTAAAAAACAAAAGATTCTCTTCAATCGACAGCAAGAAATTCAAACTTTTCTGCACTTCCTTGTAAGTTCATATACTGACACTGTTATGGAGAAGCAGTAAGAACTGAATATTAAACTGTGAAGTTATAAATGGTTGGTCGATCATGGACGTGGCTCTACCATCAAAGATTATGCTCCTTTTATTCCATGTAAGGCACAGGACAAAATAATCCCACCTAGAAAAGTTCAAGCAAGTTCTACACAGGTGTTTGTCTTGTCACTTTTACACGTGTATACAAACGGTAATGACCAAATACAGTTATACATAACAGAAATTCCACTATTGTACAAAATTGTTAATTCTAATTTTTTTTTTTAAATTCTGACTTTTTATTTTTGCCGGTTTCTAAACCATTATGAGTCTTGAGGTTGATCGGGAGTTTTGACTGATCCCAGAAATAAAAATAAATGTAGTGGTGAGTCTGAGCAACTTTTTTTTGTATCCATTAAAAAAAAAGGAGACAAGAAACACGACATGATTTCTTTTTTTATCTATACATTTTTTTGAAATAAAAATTATATTGTCAGCAAGCAGTCATGAATGGAAGAACAAAAAGAAGATTAAAGTTTTCAAATGAGGGGAGGGGGAAGGGGGGAAAAGGGGAAAACAGGAGGTTAGATTTAGGTGGGTCAAGTGGTTTATTTCCAGAGTTTAGAAACTGAAAAAAGGAGAGGAGGGGAGAGAGAAGGGAGTTGTTCAGCTGCAGCACTTGCTCTTCCAGCCCGTTACTCCACTTCCGCTGCTGATATCTACGTTTTCACTGTTGGGCTCTTTTACGGGTGTCTGCAGAACAGGAAAAAGAAAAAAAAAGTTGCATTAAAAGCCTTGTCCAGATGATGGAAACCAACTTGTCAGCACGGTACAATGTATTTCCAAGACAATCTTTTTTCTTTACTAAAATCAGCATGTGACATATAACAGTTACCATTTTCTCCTCTTCCCACACCCCTGCAACTCTTGCAAACCATACAAACAGGGGGAATATGAATGTTAACACCACCACATAACAGAAGGCTGTTTTACGTCAACTTTCTGGGCTGCCAGAGTACAAAGTTTTGTCATGAAAGCACAAATTTGCTTAAGTGGATTTTAAAGTTATTTGCATCACAGCTCACAGGGGAGGGGATGTAATGATTCTAAAATAATATATTTCAACTGTATTACAAGAACCACAGTGTGAACACATAGATCAACATGCAGAAGAATATGGCACATGCATAACTGTAACTAACTTTTTTAAAACTGTATACACTGCTGCTCATATTTAAAGTCTTTAAACAGCCTTGCCTTCTGACTACTTTAGTGAACTAGTAACTCTCTATACGTCTACACATCATGAACACTCTTTATACCATGGCCCTCTCAGTCCCCCAAATGAAGCACGGGAAACAGGGAAACCACAGTTTCTGCCGCTCCAAGGATGTGAACTCATAGCCCATATCAGAACTTACAAGTCAGCCTACAATTGCAAATCCAGTCTCAAAACTTTTTATATCCTAACTTAACTATTGATTTGTGTATGCATTTACGCATTATGGAAGGTGCTACATAAAATAGTTAAAAGCCTTTTTCCTCCCCAAATGAAACATCAAATACAAATCTCACAAAAATGGTAAATTTGATGTAACCATTTATCTATCACCTGTCTTCCAAGAAAACTTTCACATTTCAGAATTTCCACAAATTTGAAAGAGTAATACTGAAAAGGCAAAGACTTTTAGAATAGTTATGCACCAATTGGTTTTATTAAGAGATTATTGCAATTTCCAGCATCAAAGCTATTCCATATCATTTTTAAGGGTATAGGAAAACATTGATGTCTGGAAAACTGAAAATTGAATATGGCTCACAAATCAAACTAAGCAGATATATAACTTTTCATGTCTGAAATGAACAGGTGATAGTATGGATTTGATTGCCATTAAAATTAAACACTGCAACCCTCATGGAAATGTTTTATCTTTCTTGAAATTAATATACTATATTATAATAGCCCTTTTAAAGCACATTTTTGGGGGCTTCTAGTTCACTTGTTCTTACAAGGACAGATCTTCTGGAATAACTTTACTGAAAACTATGATTTCTGGATTGACACCTCACAAAATTAACATTACCTTGATAAGGTAAACAAAATCTACACATCATCCAGCCGACATTCATACCAGTAGATAATCACATTTCCTTCCCGGAATTCTTCCCGAGATTTGAAACTATACCAAGAAAACCATTACATGACATCACAAATATTCTGCACCTTCAAAGCAGTCATGTAGAACTGTTCAAAGGAGCATCACTTCCTGTACAAACTAGGTGTGCAGCGATGACACTTCCTCGATATGAATACACAAGATCAAATTATTACTAATTATCTGTATAAATTATTGCATATACGCCTAAATTAAATTGGCAATAATACACAGTAATTGAGCATATTGGATTTCTACAACTTCCTAGTAGTGTACTGTTTTTCTATTTGAAAAACAGAACTCCTTCAAAGGGCACCTCTGCATGTTAGAGAATCTCAGTCTGGGCAATTAAGTGAATGTCAGGCCCTATCAGACCATGGGCATAGCAGCATAACCTGTCTGCTGTGCCTGATATCTCTCAGTTACCGGAGCAGAAAGGTTCTGTGGCCTTTCCACCCAAACCACTAACGTATCCAGGCATTAATGTGAAGTAGAGGCACATAAGCACAACTACTTTGTTTCAACGGACCTAGGTATTTTAAGGTAAGATTTTAAAAATGTAATGTTTAGTTCTTAATTTTACTGCAAAATGAAAATGATCATTCTAGTGTTATAATATATCTTTGATTTAAAGAACTGATCAATGATTTTAATAAGGGTTGCAAGACTATTTTAAGAACCAAAGGGGTCCGGACTGTAAGAACTGTAGTAGAAACTAATCTTAGCAGCAAAACAATATGATAACTTTACACTGTACAGTAATTTTACAATTATACATGTCTCTTTAGTTTGATTACCACATTTTTATAAGCCACATCTCTTAAAGGCATTATATACAGTGCTAAGAAGAAGTTTATGAACCCCTTAGTATTTTTACAAATGATTAATACTGTATATGAAACTGAAAATATTAGACAATCTTTAGATTCCTAATAATAGAAAACCTGGTGAAACAAATGACACAAAACATGATATTCTTGCAAAATATTTGAATGTTGCATCATTTGAGAATCAAATCATGTGACCAAGTTCGTGAACCTTCAGATTCAATAACTGGTATGAACCTCCTTGAACAGCAACAGCAACTGCAACTAAATGTTTCTTATCATTGATCAGTCTCTCACATTGGTTTGGAGGAATTGGAGCCCACTCCTCACAAAACTCCTCAAATCTGTGATGCTGGAGAGAAGACTTGCATGAAAAGCGTGCTTCAGGTCCTGCCACATTTCCATAGGGTTTAGGTCCTGACTGAAATTATTGTAAAACGCAGAATGTTTTGCAGCCACCTTCAATCTGTATAGCGGCCAGTAGGGGGCTCTCATCCTCCGGTCTGTATGGGTCCTAGTGCCCCAGTACAGTGACAGGGACAGTATACTGTAAAAGGGTGCCATCCTTTGGATGAGGTAAACCCAAGGTCCTGACTCTCTGTAGTCATTAAATATCCCAGGGCGTTTTTTCTCTACTCTTTTTGAGGTGTTACTCCAGCATCCTGGCCAAATTCCCCATTGGCCTTTACCAATCATGGCCTCCTAATAATCCCCATCTATAAATTGGCTTCATCACTCTGCTCTCCTCCCGATTGCTGATGTGTGGTAAGCGTTCTGACACACTATGGCTGCTGTCACATCATCCAGATGGGGGCTACACATTTGTGGTGGTGGAGGAGAGTCCCCATCACCTGTAAAGTGCTTTAAGTGGAGCCTCCAGAAAAGCGCTATATAAGTGTATGTTATTAATTATTTTATTACTATTATTAATATTTAGGATCTGTCTTTCCACAAACTGGTCTACCATTCTCGACTATAATCTTATGATAGTATGCAGAATTCATGGTTGTGTCAAGGATGTTAAGCTGTTCTGGTCCTAGGACAGCAAATCAACCTTAATCCACCACACTCCCACTCCCTGCTTGACAGCTGGGATAAGGAGGTTTTGTTCAAAAGCAGTGTTTGGTTTTCTCCAAACGATGTTTCTCATTTATGCTTTTAAACTTGTCTGCCCAGTGAACTTTGATCCGGATGCCTTTTGGATCATCTGTGCACTCTATGGCAAACTTCAGACAGGCACCTGTCTTATTTTTGGAGAGCAGCGGGTGTCTCCTTTCTAGCCTCTCCATGAACACCATTCTTGTTCAGTCGTTTTCTGACAGTCATGAACTGTCGCATTAGCCAAGGAGAAGAGTGGCCTGCAGTTCCTTGGGTGGTATTCTGAAGTTCTTTGTAACTTCCTTGATTTTCTGGCTTGTTCTTGGAGACATTTTGGTAGGGTGACTGCTCTTGGAAAGAACAAGTATGGTCTTGAAATTTCTCCATTTGTAGACAGTTTGACAGTGGTTTAGTAGAGGCCCAAATCCTTCTTCTAATCCTTTCTGGACTGAGGAGCATCAAATAACTGTGAACCTTCCTTAGATCGTGGTATGATCTAATTTCTGATTTCATAGGGTGGGGCCTTCCATACTCAGTCCCCAATATCTTCTAATTTAGACACCTGATTTTAATTACAGAATGACTTTGGATTTAACGGACAACCTCCTCAAGGGAAATTTTGTCTATAAAACCAGAAACATCTTACTTGCCAGTATAACAGACAAATGCACAAACAAGGTAAAAAATGACATAGTACATACATTCAGTATTGCAAAAGACATGGAATTTGTTTCTGTAAACCCTATTTAAAACAAAGATTCGTTTTACATACAGAATTGTGCAGATCTCTCTTTGGGATTCATCAATTTTTCTATGCAGTGTACGAACACCCGGAAACTACACGTTATTTCATAATGTTAGTATTTTAAACAAGCAACACAAACAACAAAAGGTAACTTGCACATTCTTTAGTACTAATATTTTATACAAGTTAAAATGAATCAAGAAATCATTGTATAGCTCAAGTAGTGAGTCAGGTCTCACAGTTAAGCTGCATGAAGAAAACCCATACCTTTCGAAGTATGTCTTCTGCTAATGTGAGGAATGCCTTCTCAATGTTGATATTTGCTTTTGCACTTGTCTCAAAAAACCTAATGCCATGTTCTCTTGCAATCTGTAAAGAGAAATTCAGTTAACGGGGATGCTTCTGAAGTTGGTGTCAACAGGGAAAAGGATGATTTTCAGATTTAAGGTGGTTTAAACCATTTAAAGCTTAAAGACATTATCAATATTCAGGAAGAGAACACAATCAAACCCCTCAGAAAATAGCTGGAAAGAAGTTAAAAAATGTCTCTCTCTCTAAGACCATAGGTCTGATTTTGTACTTGCCTTATACATAGGTAAAGCAAGCAACCCAACACCTACAAAGTCTGTATAATCTCACTTAGATATTAAGCTTAATAAGCTTGATTTAAATTAGATAAAAGGTTTGAAAATGTCAAAAGAAAATATCTAGTTACTTAGTCCTTATGATACTCAATGTTAGTCAGAATGACAAGTGTCCCTCTCACCTGCTCTCCCTTTGCCTTTGGTACCACTCGCTTGTCCTCCATATCGCACTTGTTGCCTAGCAGCATTCTCTCTACGTCTTCGTTTGCATGCTGGAAGGAAAATATGCATTTTATCAGCGCAAGAACATCACTGCTTGATGTTTTTTTTGAAAATGTATACAACTTTAGCCATGAGGACAAGTACGCCTTTACTATGGATACACTGAGAGGCAAGGAAGACATTTCCATCAGTGAAACCATTTCAATTCCATGAAGGGTTACATAGTAAATACATTAGTTTGCTCACTTTATCAATGCAATAAACACAGGTAACACCTACAAACAGCATTGATATGACTTGGCTGTGACATTACAGATGTCTTGGACGATGATGGCGACAATAGCTTGTAGGGGTTGTGGTGGGGACAGTGAACATGTCCATGACTGTTTTAGAATAAAATTAAGGTCAAAACCATACAATACGTCCAGAAACTGCAATTATTTTTCACTGAAACAATTTATTCCAACTCTAGCATATGACAACAAATTAAGAGTTCTGAGACTGAGTTTATAAAATTGAGAGTTTTTATAATGGCCGACAGCTTGAAATAACAACCAATAAGTCCAAAATGATGGCAAAAAAATTAAGGAAAAAAAGCAATATACAAGTAACCTATAGACAAATTTCAATAGAATTTCATTTCATTCTTGTGAGAATTTCATTCTTGTGACAAATGCATATAACTTTAAAAAATATTGATAAACTACAGTGACATTTTACTGATAAATTATTCATAGGTTGTATTTGTTATACTGCTGAAAATAAAGAGAGGACTGTAATAATCACTTAAGGGGAAACGACCAATAAAATGTAAACAGCTTATGTCTCAAAACACCTGTAGTCCACTTATTATAGTAAAGACTATATTTTAGCTGACATGATGAATACAGGATATATGGGTTTGCGTTTTTACAAGCTCTTAAAGAAATACAACAAAGAGTTAAATTAGCAATAGAAGCACAAGGTCCTTTTTAGTCTAGTAAGCTTCACCGATTATGCTAATTTATATTTGAGGTTCATTGCAAAGAAACTGGGTGCTCTTGGTTTGCAGAGCCGACACAGAATACAATATTTAAGCTCCCATCTTTCTTCAGACTACTTGTCCAGTCTAAAAATATTGTTTAATACCTGGAAAATAAAAACCTCTCAGAGCACTGAGCTATGGTGTCGAGTTGCTTAGTTTCACCTGCTAAATAAAGCTTAACACTTCTAAAGCTAAAATGCAGACTGTACTTGTACAATGAGCAACCCTTAGTTAAGCTGCAAGTTAGATAGTTTAACTGGACAAAAAAAGGCTAATTTGTCTGGGAATAATTGGGGGGTGTATGAATTTTGAATTACTAGTCTTCAGTTTCACATTACTGGTACAGTAATGCAAAAAATCAATTCAAGTTGAGTGCCTGGACTCAAAGAAGGTGAATACTCATCATATCAAGACATTACAGAGTTTTCTTTTAAATTGCATTTTTAAAAAAATAACTTATTTCTGTATTTGTAGAGGAATTTGTGCAAATCAGCAACAAAAAAACCCATATAAAAGTAATTTCTATTTGAATTTGATAAAATATTATGAAAAAACTCAAGAAGGAGGGAGGGAGAGTTCTGAAGTCATAGTTCTGCTTTTAATTGTCAGGCACTGGGAAGCTTGTGAGGCTTGAGGAGAATATAGATGGAGCAAAGTACGGGCTAATCTTTAGGGGAAAGCCTGCTTCAATCTTCTAAAGACCTAAACCTGGGAATGTCCGCAGGATACTGACTCAAGCACCAGGTCAAAGCCATACAGGAGTGGCAGAACAAGAAATTTGTGAATTTTTTGACCCGTCAGATCAAGCTCCTAACCTGAAACCAATAGTAAATCTGTGACTGCATTAGAAAATTCATCAATTTAAGTTTGCATGAAGAATGTGTGATTCTGGAATACAACGTTGGTAGAGTCTTCTCCCCCAGTTATTACAGCCAAAGTAATGACAATAGATCATGACTGCTTAAGAAGTCAGTTTAGTTTGTTTTTTCTATGGATGTCTTGCTAAAATTTTAATTTTCACCACTAAAAGTGTTCAGTTTGAGCATTCAAGTTTTAATTACAATACTCATTGGACACATTGGAATGGCGCTGAATACTTTTGCAAGGCACTGTATTGTAGATGGATAGCGGTTTTACTTACAGTATTCTTAGTACATATATTGTAAATATGACCTACTCAACAGCAAAGTAAAAGGATCACAGTCACAGATACTTAAAAAACAGAAACCCATTTAAATGAACTCAATAGCAATTGAGAGTTTGGATCTCTCCCTACAACCGGCATCTGCATAAACCTATTTTGTTTGTTTAAAAGTATGGAGGAGAAGAGAATCAATTTCACCACCAAACGAACTGTCTCACCTCGTCAATGTTTCGCAGCCACTTGCTGATGTTTTCAAAGCTTTTGGCATTTGTGATGTCATACACTAACATGATCCCCATGGCACCTCTGTAGTAGGAAGTGGTGATTGTGTGAAACCGCTCCTGCCCCGCTGTATCCCTGTGGAAATGAAGGGAAGAAAAATTACACTTCTAACATTCGGCAACTTGCAAAACCTTCCCCCGTCGGGAGAAAACTCTTTATCCCTAGTAAAAGCTCTTGAGGTCCCTTTTATTTAGCCATTCTATGTTGGGTAACCCAAAAAAACAGACCAATTTAGTGCTCTGTCAAACCACCAAGTGTGTCAAGTCAGTTCCAGACTGCATTTGATTTTTATAGTTCTAGTGGTAGTTTACTTGGTAGGGTGTTCTGTAACCCTTTCGTAAGATTTGAGTGAACAATTTCACATTTAATACTTGTACATGTACATGTTAGGTTTAAATTACTACTTTTGAAAAAGGTGTCTTTCTGGAGGAAAGTGTTATACTTAGCTATACGAGTCAATTGATTTTTTTATTTAATGCCGATTTGTATTCACTACCTCACAAAACTGCTAGACATCTGCGTGTTGTAAAAGCAATCAGAAACAATTAAATGTTTTGCACCACCTGAAAGAGTATGGAAAGCTCCTTTAATGGTTTTGAAAATGCAAACAGAACTGCTTTCAACCAAGGAAAACCGTAAAGGGATTCCCAATTCTTTACTCCTTTACACACAACAGATACTCATCTTCAAGGTGACATTCGATCTCTATCTACTGTATGCACTGCTTCAAAATCAATGGTGATGTAAAAAGGTGTCTGACAACTTGACAGCAAATTTAAGCACTGCCAATTGATATGCAATAATTTAATGTACATGCTGTCATGGACTTGACTATAAATTAAGAAGCAGCTACAGCTGGAATCCAAAAGACAAAATCAAAAGACCAGTCATCCCCTAGACACCATTTTCTTTCAAGCAAAATTCTCTCCCTGTATGAAAATTCCAGTAAAAACAGAATCCCACGCAGTCCTAGTCCTTTGTGTTATTTATTTTACTGTATGAATCTTGTGGAGTTCAAATTAACAGATACAAAAAAAAAACATTTGAGTTACATTCTGTAAAATAAATGTTTCTAAACCAATTCAAAAGTTGAACATGGAAGCTTCCCTGACGTATTGGAAGGTTTCCCAATTACAATCTAGTTTAACAATTCATTTTACTAAACAGTTCTTGGCTCTTCACCTGATGAGGTCAGACTGTGAATGTTTTTGTTAGATAAACTACGTAATGAGGTCTCTTTAAGTGACTGCTGAAGAAAGTCATCTGCCGCCATCTGCAGAACCTAACTATACACTAGCTAAACCCAAGAGACAGGATCTCCCTTCAAGCCCCCTGATGAGGCAGATGTCTGAAGCAATCGGTAATATAGCAACAGCAACCCAACTCCACAGATGGGCTTCTGGGAAAAGAAAACAAAATGAACACACTTCTGACATTAACTCCTGCATACGTGTGCTTAAGGAAATCATTTTTCTGGCTTACAGTTTTGAGTTCTTTTCACTTATTCTTTCATGATGTCATTCTTCTACAAGTTACCTTTAACTTGTGTCATTTTTGCAATCTGTGAATACAATTTCTAAGGTCTCTCCCTTATTAACACCCAAATGATTCCCCTATATAATGGGCAGCTGACTCCTTGTTGCTGAAAAATCTTTCGTGAGGAAAGATTTTTCAGACAGACCTCAGTGGGATGAAACTTAGTTCAACACTTGACAGCTAATTTGCATTTGAGTAGCTAAAACCACATACTGGGGTGTTCTTTGCTTAATTAACACTAGACAGCCTCTATGTTAGGCCTTGCTTTGAATATACTGCTTGGGTTCCTCATTTACCATGGTGTTTCCTTTTTTTTATCCATTACCTGTACTTTTCTCAGAGTGCCAGGCAGGCCAATGCAAAGGTTCTGTTCCTTAAGAAACACTCCAACCCAAAATATAGATACTGACAGCACACGGTTCAAACCATGAGACTGCAAGCTCCCTGGCTGCCACAGCAATTCAGACAGAAGATCTAAAACAATTCCTGAGATGTGTTTCTTGAGATCACCCCCCATCTTACAATTAAAACCAATTGAGCAATAAGTGAGCAGAAAAGCTATTCTAAAGACATTGCTCTTAAACCAGCAAACCTGTAAATCGAACAGATCTTCTCTTTCCTTGGATTCTCATGCTGCATAAAACCAATGTAAGAAAAATATTCAAAAGAGCAGCATAAGGACATTAAATACGGCCTCAACACAACCGGAGAAAAAGACAAAAGGAGTGAGAAATGGGCGATTAACGCTGCAGATGGGTTTTAAATATGACAGCATTTTTCAGCCGTTAACAGTGGTGCTTTCTAAGCTGCTTCACATTCTGCCAAAACACAAAGCAGCCCGTTCACAGGTAATTTGCATGGATCATCAGTATTCTGCGGATCAAGCCCGTTGGTATGCTTCTGCGCCCCAGGTCTTTCCACTGACACACATGCCAACAAATTCCAGCAGGACAAGCGAGAGGAGATCTTTCTCCCCTGCAGATCTTTGATTTGGGTTTTCATATTTCTGAATGACAGGCCACACATACAGTCTCTAATAATAAGGGCTAGCATAGTAACAGGATGCATACTCACCATATCTGTAGTTTTATCTTCTTCCCTTGTAATTCAACTGTTTTGATCTTGAAATCAATTCCTAGAAAAAAGGGGAAAACAACATTTCAGTTGTGTGGTACGTATGCAGAAATGAAGGTGGCAACGTGGGCAGAAAAACTGAATCCTGAAAATTCCTAGATATCCACAGTTTTCCTACAGGCTATTTAACCATGTATTGATCGACTTTAAAACTATCAATAGAGAGTGCCTTGCAAACATTTTCACCTCCCAACAATCACATTCAGAATAATTAGAAT